CCCTCCCTTCCTGCCGCGTGCCGCTGCCCAACCCGCCCCAGGCCCAGAAGCTGGGGGCGCGTGGGGCGCTGAGGGCACACGCATCTTCGGACCTCGGAACCCTGGACCCCAGACCCGGGTCCCTGACCCCGGACCCCGGACCCCGGACCCCAACCCTGGAACTAGGAACCCTAACCCACCCCGGGCCCCCGATCCAGGACCTCGGACCCCGGCCCGGCGGAAGGATGGCATGGTCTGCTGTGTGGCGAGTCTGAGGGTGAGGCGGTAGCCTAGAGCTGGACTAGGGGGTTGGGGCAGCCGTAAGAGCGCTGGTGAGCCGCGTCCAGGGCGCTGCAGAGCCGCTGGGGTCTTTCTCCCTGGGAAGTGTGCCAGACACCTTCACAATCTGCCACCGGGTCCTAGCAGCCCAGGAAGAGGGTCCTGAGCTCCTGAGCCTCATTCTCCGCCCAGAGCCACGCTGGCCTGCGCAGCTCCACTGTCCCGGAGTCCCACCCAACGCCACGCACCGGGCGCCCGCTGTGTCCGCGATCCCCCAATACAGAAGACGTGCTCCTCTACCACCCTGCGCCCCGTCCTCCACGTTTCCGGCTTAGCCGCCTTGGTCAGGACTAGCCCCTCAGAGTCCTTAGACGGAGGCTGTCTCGCGCCAGTACCGGAAGTCACCGCCAGGCGGCGCATGGCCCAGCCACTGGCTGGGCCTCCCTCCTACATGGACCCCAAGTACCAGGTCACTGGTGCTGGACTGCCTCCAGATCCCCTGCCCACAGCACCTGCTACCAGCCTAGGCCAGTTCTCTGAATCTTGCTCAGAGCAGGATGCAGATGTTCTAATATGTTAACAAACTCCTCTGGGGTCCCCAACCCAGAAACTCAACCAGAGCAGAACAAGTCTGGAGCCTTTCGGGGCACTTAAAGGGTTCCCACCACTGAGCAGAAAAGAAATACAGGACACATTTGAGAGCTGGTGTGGGAATCCCAGCCTGACCCGGGTGGAAGAGCTGGAGCCGTCTCGCCTCTTATACCCACAGACCACCTGGGAGCCCCACATGCCTTCTCATCACCTCTCTTCTCTTGGGCACCCCATTTTTAGGAGAGAAAACCCCAGTGACTTTCAGTGTGCTTGTAGGATACTTTACTGATGCTCTCGATTTGCCTAATTTCCTCCTAGTCTGGCACGATCCCTTCTGGATGGGGTATATACTAATTTACATAGCTGGCGCCCCCCGTATTTTTCCTCCTTGCAAAGCACTTTTCAGTTTTTCAATTAGCAAGTTCCTGTCTCTCTCTCTCTCTCTCTCTTTGATGCAAAAATACTGGGAAGTTGGGTTTTTTTTTTCTCACCTCAAACCAGAAAGCTGTGCAACTCAGAAATCAGCTACTATTTGGCTTAAGCCCTTAATTCGTGTGCATATTTCTATGAGGCTGAGGACAGAAACTGGGTGATAGGGGCTGGCCAGGATTGGTGTTTCTGGTCAGGCTGATTCAGGGACTCTTCTAAATGTCCCATGTAGACAGGATTTAGCCATCCCTTCTCCATCAATTGAAGCGTATTGGTTACGAATCAGGCTGTGAACCGCAAGGTCAGCAGTTCGAAACTACAAGCTGTTCCATGGGAGAAACATGAGGCTTTCTGCTCCTGTAAAGATTTACAGCCTCGGAAACCCTGTACAGGGTTGCTATGAGTCGGAACCGACTCCATGGCACATAACCAACCAACCAAGTGGCAATACTGGTGTGGCACTGTGGGTTAATGCTCAGACTGCAAAGCTGTTTGAACTGCAAGGTCGGTGGTTCAAGCTCACCAGCTGCTCCTCAGAAACCCTATACAGGGTCGCTATGGGTCGGAATCAACTCGCCGGCAGTTAACAACAGTGACAGTACCCCGCACAGTGGACGCCGGACCATGCACCAGGGCACTGTCCTGGGAAAGGGGGCTTTGCTGAGATCTGGGAGTGCTTCCGCTGGCCTTTTGGGGGAGTGTCACCCCATCCCCAAGGGCCTTTGTCCTTGGAGTAATTCTGTTCAAGTGAGCATCCCTCCCTCCCTTCCATTAATGCCCTGGGCCTCTGTACCTTAGGTACCCTATCTGGTTCTGAAGAGCCTCCACTCGCAGAACCTCAAAGCAGCCAGCACTCGTTCGCTGCTTCCATCTACGGTCTGAACTTGCTTCATGTATCATAGTGCTTCAACGCCACTTCTGTGCCCTGCTCTGCTTATGTGCTGGGGGGGCAACATGGGCAACACAGACACGGAAATCTCCATCCGTTGATTAACTACCAGGAAGGGAAACCCAAGAGATGGGCTTATACCGTCATCCCGCCCCCCAAAGAACAACTACACAGTGTTCTCCCCCATCACCAACAGCCACACCCCCAGTGGCACTTGGCAAGTCTCATTCCAGGTGCTGGATGGAGTCAGACCAGAGAAGAGGCAAAGATCCAGGTGCCCCTCAGGTAAGTAGGTGACACCCCCATCTGAGCTGAGGCTCTCCATGCTGCTGAGAAGCTGATCTGCTGAACCGTCAGGGCCCTGAGGGTCAGCTGTGAGCGTGTTCTGTGGCTGCCTCTCAGCAGTCCAGGGTCTTCCTCTCTCTGTAAAAGTCAGTGAGAGATTTTGTTGCCTGAAGGGTTTATACACAATCTAGCTTCATGCTATCCCAACCAATAAGAGTCACCCCAAACCTGCCCCATCACTCAGGAGAAAACATAGATCTGCCTAGCTACACCGAGATATGAGGAGACCCACACCCAGGGACAGCCTGTGAAATGCCAGCATTTGCAGTGAGTCTGGGCGTCTTTATTCCTCTCAGGGGAAAATAATGTTGGCTCTTAGGGAGCTCCATTAAATAGGGTTTGCAGTCTGTAGAAGGTTTTGTTTGTTTTTAAAGTTGGTTTACTTTGTTTTTGCAAGTAAAATTGAATTGAGACAAACACACACACACATACACAGAGAAAGAAGACCATGTCTCCTCACAGGCCTGCAGCATTAGAATAGACCCCAGGGAATAGGAGGGGCCTGAACCCTGGCTGCCACTGAGCTCCTGCCCACTGTCCATCTTCCCAAAGTAGATGCTGCTCCAGGTCCTCCCCACGGTACACCCTTGGCCAACCCACCACAAGGACCAGGTTGTGGAGGAAGGCTTTGGTCAGCTGTCACCTAGAGAGGCCTTGAGTTTGGGAGACAACACCTGACACTTGTAAGGTGAGGAGTCCGCAGCCAGGAGCCCTGCCTGGAGGTGAGCAGGGACTAGAGGGGAGGCCCCAGCGGCTCCCACAAAGTTGGGTCTCTGTCACTGCCCAAGCCTCCTCCTGGTGCAGGGATGTGTTGTGCAATGAGATGCAGAATGGGAGCATACCAAGGGGTTAAAGATGTGGGGGGCCTACTCAGGTGAGCAGAGAGAGTCAGAAGAAGCTGCTAGTACAACCAAGTTCCTGAGAAACCCAGAAAAGAAACAGTGGGAGGGGCAGGACCGCGTGGCCTGGGTCGGAATATTGTTCTGTAGAAAGTCTGGAAGATTCATAAAGTATGGTGAACCAAAGTCACTCATGGACAAGGGATGTGAGCAGAGACTCGAGTGAAGACACATGTAGATGCTCTAGCCCACAGCAGACAACCAAGATGACTATATGGCTAGACTCCAGAACACCAGAGAGAAGAAGAGTGGATACAAAGGTAGTCCTAGAGACATTTTCCATCAGTTCCTCAACCCTGCCCACCAGTGCAGTGGCACCGAGGGCAGAAGCCAGGATCCTGAGAGCACACTGTCAGAGCCTAGCAGATATTCAGGGACTGAACTGGAGGGTCCTCTGCCTTACAGAGCTCTAGTCCAAGGCTGCAAGAGCCCCTGTAGGAACCCAAAGTACAAACAGGACACAGAAAGGGCCATGGGGATGGGCACATCCTCCTGAGGGCAACAAGTGGGGGCTATTGGCCATACTGGCAGGGACAGGTCACTCAGAGGCCCCCACTGCTATGCTGGGACTCACAGTGGTGGCCACTAGAGAGTGACCAAGAGGGAGACAGCAGAGAGTCAAGACCTGGTTGGTCTCAGAGTCCAGGGGAAGAGGACACCAAACATGAAGTCCAGGGAAGGACATTAAGCTAAGGGTGTACCGGGCAAGGCTACCCTTTTCATCTTCCTTCCAGGTCCCCCACTGTCTCCCTCCCTTCTTCCCTCCAGACACAGACATCCTGATGTGGGAGGAGTCAAGGGCAGTCAGGACAGGGTGGAGGTCCCACAGGACAGGCTTCCAGACCTCTCCAACATCCCCAAGGTCACAACCCAGGGCTGGGTCCTTCCAAGGAGGCTAAGGAACAGGATGCAGTGAGGTTTCCCCTCACATGTGGACCTGCTCTGGCTCCAGGAGAACTGTGAAGGCTGTGTGCTCTCTGTTCAGCCCCATTCATGGAGCAACCCGATGTTTCTGGCTAAGCAAACCAATGGTCATTAGAGAGGACAGATGTGTCCTGTGGGACAACTGACCTCCCTGCTTTCCACACACTGCACCAGTGTTGTCTCCACAGATGAATCAGTAGCTCCCACTCTGCCCCTGTATGCCCAATTAAGGGGTTCTCTCCTCAGATCCCCCAACTGGAGGGAGCAGGAGGAAGGCTGGTCCTCAGCATAATGGCCTGAGGGCCACACCATATGCGAGCCTGCAAGAGGACCACACTTGCCCACTAATTGGAGACAATATGGTGGGAGAAGCAGCTTAGTCTGACTCTAGAAAGGATGAGGGTTAGAAAGTGCATTTTTCACACAATTTCACCTTTTGGAGGGGAGCCAGCAGCTCAAGGTTTCACAAAGAGCTGCAGCGAGGCCCCGCTGTGGCCACCCAGGAGCCCCAACAATGAACTCATCTTCCTCTTTGGAGGGTGGTAATCTCCTCTGAGCCCTTTCCTTAGCAGACAGACCAGACCCTTGCCACCTTTGTCCCCAGTAGAGAGGATGGATTTCAACCACATTAAAATTAACATGACTCCCAAAGTGAACGCTGAATGCATGCTATCCCCAAGATCCCAGCTCTCTAGAGGCGCAGGGGAGCAAGCAAGGCCACCCTGGTGGCTCAGTATCTGCTGGCCTGCCCCTGAGCTACCCATAATCCCCAACATCCACTGACCCCCAGACCTCCATTCCATTGAATAGACACTCACTGCCTGAAATCCAGTTTGCTTTCTAGTACGATTCTCTGACCCAGGATCCAGTCACCAAGTGCTGGAGCTCAAAGCCCAGAGAGTGGGGTGGATCAGTGCTGTTTTCAGAACCAGCTAAGCTGGTTTTCTCTCAGGTCCCATTGCAGTGCTCCATTTGATGGGGGTCCTGGAGAAGTTGTGTGGATAACAATGTAGACAGAGTCCTCACATGGCTCACAGCCACTAAACACCCACCGAGACCTGGAACGGTATGGTGCAGCATGTACGCATTTCAAAGATGAGAAATAGAGGCAACGAGAAGTCTGGTGATCATCTCAAAGCTATGAAGCTGTTCATTGGTGTGTGTTAGAAATTGAATTGCATCTCCTAAAAAGTACGAGTATGTGTAGAATTCCCTGAGCTCTATGCCTTTGAATCCATGGCACTATGGGGTTAAGTATTGGCCTCAAACCCACCAGCTGCTCCATGGGCAGTCTGTTTCTGTTGAGATGTGTATTCTCAGAGGCTGCCAAGAAGCAGTTGTAC